AAAGGAAGTCAAGAAGCAAGAGTTTGTAGGGAAAAGAGAGAACCTCCAGGAAGGCCCGCCTGACAAGAGGAGGAGCCGGAGGCCCGGAACCTGCAGATCAGGGCCCCCCACACCCCCAGGGGTCCCCAGGGATCTTGGCTTGTACTCTTGCTGAGCCCCCTATGCTGTTCCGTACAGGCTGCACTGGGCAATGACAGTCCCCTGGGGGTGGGCTGGTGAACATGCGCAGGGCAGAGGTGGCACTGTGCCCGCACGTGGGGGTCACGAGTAGCTGACGTCTGTGCGATGGGCAGTGCCCAGGATTGGGCCAGCCCCCCGTCCTCTGCAGGGTGTGTCCTGTCGATCCCGGCTTAGTGAAACCCACCAAACCAAACCCACTGCCATCGAGACGATTCTGACCCATAGCCACCACATAGGACGGGGTAGGACTGCCCCAGAGGGTTTCCAAGGCTGTAAATCTTTACGGAAGCAGACTGCCACATCTTTCTCCCGCAGAGCTGCTGGTGAGTTTGAACTGCTGACCTTTCCGTTAGCAGCCGAGCACTTTTAACCACTGCGCCACCAGGGCTCCACAGTGACCCTGTAGGACAGAGGGAAACTGCCTCCTAGGGTTTCCTAGGCTGTAATCTTTACGGAAGCAAGACTGCCACATCTTCCTCCCGCGGAAACACTGGTGGGTTCGAACCACCAACCTTTAGGTTAGCAGCCAAGTGCTTTAACCATTATGCCACCAGGGCTCCTTATATAGAAAAAACCAAACAAACCCTGTTGCTGTTGAGTCAATTCCCACCCATAGCAACCCTATGTGACAGAGCAGAATTGCCCTATAGGGTTTCCAAGGGGCGGCTGGTGGATTTGAACTGCCAACCTTTTGGTTAACAGCCTGAGCTCTTAACCACTGCGCCACCAGGGCTCCTTTTAGAGGAGTGCAAATGGTTAACATGCTCGGCTGCTAACTGAAAGGTTGGAGGTTCGAGTCCATCCAGAGGCACCTCAGAAGAAAGGCCTGGTGATCTCCATCTGAAAAACCAGCCATTGAGAACCCTGTGGAGTCCAGATCTCTGCACACATGGGGATGACGTGCGTCAGAGTTGACTGGACAGCAGCCAGTGGTTAGAACAAGGAGAAACCAGCCCAACCCAACCATCGCCATCGAGTCGATTCTGACTCACAGCAACCTTATCGGACAGAGGAGAACTGCCCCCCAGAGTTTCCAGGGAGTGGCTGATGGATTCGAACTGCTAACCTTTTGGTTAGCAGCTGAGCTCTTAACCACTGAGCCACCAGGAACAGGGATAGAACTGGTAAATGTTCTACCCTAAGGCCAAGCTGTTCTTCATGAGGGAGGGGCCCTTCAGAGGGCTGCGTGCTGGCTCAGGTGAGGGGGCCAAGGTTCAGGGACCTGGGGAGGGAGGGAAGCTTGACCCAAGTTTGGGCAACA